ATATCTACTGTATCTGTCTGGTGAGAATTATGTAGAATGTTAGACTTCTATGCCACTGAATGACATCTGCATTCATTCAGTGATGTCACTTGTTGCTTGGGTAGCATGAAATTGACCATACTAAGAATCTTTACACCATGAAATTCAGTAAATGCTATGAATCAGGATTTTGTTTTGATACTTTTTAATTTTGAGAAGGATCTTTCTGTTGATCCAACTGTTACTAGAACTGTTAGGAGTATTTATAGGTTGTGACAACATTAGGATAACTTTCTGAGAAATTATTTCAAAATATAAGTCATAGTGTGTCTAGAGCTGATGAATCTGATGGGATAATTTATCTAAAAAAGTTTTAACTCTTCATACAAATCAGTTTGTTGTAAGCCTGAATTTAATTTTAAATGTAAATTGATACAGCATTTTAGTGGGGTTTTTTTCCTGACATATCCTATACATTGTGGAGGTTGTACAAGAAACTAAGAGTGCCTTTTTCATTTGTATATAATTAAAGTGTAAAACCAAAATATATGTAATTAAAATTTCATTCATATGAAAATACTTTTTTTCTGTTGAATACACTAATCTTAAAATGTAATGTCTGTTTCTAAGACTGGGTATTTGCTTTGTGATGGTGCAGCAGTTTTCAAAACCGGAGATTCTGAACTCTTTGAAGAAGTCTAGTGAGTACTTGATATGCTTTATTTTAATGTACATATGCATGCTTTTATCTTCTAGTAATTCGCTGACAAAGTTTATTGCCTGAGAGACAGCAAGTGCAAGATCACAGATAATTTTTGATATTCTTTCATTTTAATTCTGGGCAGAATTCACAGAGATACATTCCGGGGATGGGAGTGGAGGCCAGTTTACCTCCCTGAGGAGCCCTTCCTCTCTCCAGGGGCTGCTATTTCTGCTGCCATCATTTGCTGCTACCAGCCTGGGCCAAGTCTGGGCACAGCCACCCCTCAGACCACATGGCACCCCAGACTGTCCACATGTGTCCTCCCTGGTGCTGGCCAGCTTCTTAAAGTGCATGTTGCCTGTCCTACCATAGGCCCAGGGTGTGGTTGGGTAAGTATATGTAATTTTCTTGCTCTTTTTTTTCTATTTTTCGGGATTTTCTTCAGGAACAGGTAATAGTTTAATTATACCACAAAAAATTATTTTTAACATAAATTACATTATCAACTTTTTCTGAATTTATGCTTTTGTAACATTGCATTTGTCCCTTTATATAGGGTGTACCTGAACGGGGTGTATATTAGGCTGAAAAAGCACAGTGGGCAGTAATTTGAAATGTGTTTTATTAAAATACCTACTTGTCCTTGATTTATTTTTAGTTTGTCCTAATTTTTTTAAGGACTTTGGTCCACTTTAATTTACATGAGTGACTTAATCTGTATGAGTCTCAGAGAGGCACTTCTGTAATAAGTTATGTTTTAAATTGCACTGAGTGGACAAAAGGTGTCTTAGAAGGTAGTATTGCTCTGAGTAAAATAATCAGTGACTAAGTAACAAGAATTTAATCTCATTTCCTTTGGGCCCCTTTATTAGCCAAGATGAGTGCTTTACACCTTAAGAGAGGAGCAGAGGATGATGGAACGGCATATTAATGTAAACCTTTCTCTGACATCACCACCACTTTCACACTGTTTTCCTGTAACACAAAACAATATTGAATTAGGAAGTGATGGGGCAGCAGAGGAACTATTTGGTTTTAAAAAGTATTTACTTTCTGGTTCGTGCTTGAGAAGACTTTTGAGGTGTCTCGGTATTTTATTTTATTTATTTATTTTTTTTCAACGTTTATTTATTTTTGGGACAGAGAGGGACAGAGCATGAACGGGGGAGGGGCAGAGAGAGAGGGAGACACAGAATCAGAAACAGGCTCCAGGCTCTGAGCCATCAGCCCAGAGCCCGACGCGGGGCTCGAACTCACTGACGGTGAGATCATGACCTGGCTGAAGTCGGACGCTTAACCGACTGCGCCACCCAGGCGCCCCTGAGGTGTCTCGGTATTTTAAAGTGAATTAATCCCAAATTTATCATCCAAAATAAATCGAGTAGAGATGCCATTGAATGTAGAGGAAAACTTAAGGAAACTAGGCTCAGAGAGCTGGAATCCCACTTAGAGGTTTCCTTTATCTCTTCTCCATTGCCTTTTTGGAATCCAGCTCTGGTCCTTCTCCATTTCTCTCCATTGTCATGGAACTCTGATAGCTCTTTTCATCGAGAAAGGAAAACAACATAGAGAAGAAGGGGATGGGCAGGGCTGTATTCCTACAAGGGCAATTTAAGGGTGGTGTGAGGGAGAAAAGGTCAGCTCTCTCTAAAAATCTATTATTGGTCACTCTTTGGGATTAAGACATTGTCTAAAGAAAGCCTCTACTAACTATAGGTAAGGATTGATACATTGGCTGTATAATTTCAGCAAAGGCATTTCAGCAAAGGCAACTAGTCAGCTGTTAACTTAGAAAGTTAGACCTTAGGGTGTTGATCTTACACACACATTCCACACAGGCACACTTTGAACAACTTTCCTTATCCAGCTTAGTATTTAACACATTGTACCACAAAGTATCCTCTTAAAGTATTTCTATTAAATTGATGGGCAGGCAAAGAGGAGATGGCTGTGGTGGGTTCTCTGCTGGAGACGGTAGATTCAGGTGTATGTGAGGTCTGGCTATTGAAGCTCTCAGAGGTCAAACAATTTTGACTTGAGGATAAAAACATCAATGCTTGGGTTTTTCAGTTTCATTTTGCAGTCACTAATTTTCAAGTCACCAAAAAGCAAAGTGAATGGATGAAATGAATCTTGATTTGGAATATGTTTGTCTTAATTCGCTGAATTTTCAACTGCTCAGACTCATCTTAAAATTTAAAAAATAATAAATTGGTGTAGTAAAGAGTCATGCAAATGCTCAGTTAGTATAAGAACAATTTATGCCTTCTATTTTACCTTTTTTTTTTTTTTTTTAAGATCAATGAAACTTTTTAAGAATTTCTGGAGGCTGGGTATATTTGGCAAATTTTGTATTTTAAGTTTTCCTCTTTGGATGTGTCAAATTCCAGGTAATTTCAATAACATACAGAAATGGAAGTTAATGATGGGCCTCAAAGAGTTAACAGATTTTTCAAACCTGGAGAAATTCTAGGAATCATCATTTTGGGATACCTAACTTATTTACGTATTATAATTAGTATTTTTTTTTAAAAAAGAAAACTTTTCAAAAAAACAGGGAGTTTGGGGGTCAAAGCCAGAGGTCTTAACGTTTTAATTTTTTCCCCCACGTTTCTTGTTTTTCAAGTGGTACTGACTTATCAGGAAAAGTTCAAACACACCCACAGCCCAGGAAATAATCAGACCCAAGTGATCCACTTAGGTGGGAAGAAAAAGTAATATGCTCTGCATCTCCTGGATCGTCTTAAGAGTTTCAGTAAGAAATAAAACGAGGAGAAATGTTTCACAAACCAACTTAGCCCCCAGACGCAAACCCCAAGTCGAACCTGGGACTTTTCCTAAGTGCGAGCTGAGCAACTGGCGGGCGGCAAAGAGAAACAGCCCTTGGCGC